AGATCATTTCTAATACTTTTAATGTGCTTTTAAGAAGCCTCCTGAAAGGAACTACTGCATCTAACAAATATAACAAACATTTTCTGCTTAAGCAGACAGATATAAGAAGGTGGAAAATTAAAGTTCAACACAGGGCTTCAATCCTGCCTTGTGAGTTTTCGTATCACTACTAATTTATCTAGCTGACCAACTACTGCACATTTTTCTACACTGCAACATGTTTTCATACAGATTTATCCACCATTTTGCATGGTTTATCTGTCTTTAGAATTTTCATTCTCCTCCATACAGGCAAGCAATGTTGCATCCTGACCAAAGGCACATCATTTGAGTTGCTAAATTAAAATCTGGCAACCCCCTCCAACTGCTAAACCATGTCAAATAGCTATTGGTTTGGTGGAACAAATTAAGTAGCATGAAAAGGCCCAAACCTTATGAGAAGGAGAAAAAAAAATGACCAAAACAAATCTCTTTGGGAGGAAAAAAAAGAAAAAAAAAAAAGGTTGATGAGTTACTTCACCACTCGGTGCCTTTGTTATGTTAAAGAGACAATTAACTCCTTCCCCTACGAAGTACTTCTTGTAAGACCAATCTGAAATTTTCTTTGACAAAAGGCAAGAGAACTCCCCCATAACTGCTATTGGCTCTAGGGCATTGTGTTGCTTCTGATCAACTAGGAACTTTTCGTTGTTAAATTCATATAAATTTCTTTTTAAAAAAGTGAGATAAGGTCTCAGGCAAGTCCCTCTCACTAAAAACAAGCCATCATTCTGATGATAATGGAGATAATCAGAACATGAATATATTTACAGTATGCTAATGTTACTAGACCACAGATGGTTATGAAAGTTCTCAGTTTCTATGTGCCAATACCAAGAAGAGGAACTGGTCTGTTTATTATTTATGAAATTTTGTACAAAAAAAAAATGCTTGCGATTTAACCAGCACTTAAGCTATCTGAAGTCCTCCTTAAAAATTAAAGTTCCAGCATTTCACAAGCTATTTGTAAAAAATTTTGTACCTAAGCTCCAAGAAAAAAAAATCAGTAGCAAAATATGTACAAGCAACATACAAATGCCAAAGTTTATACTGCTGCCACTAAAAGAGTTTAATTTACACATTTAATTGTAAGGAATGTAAGGTATGTAAATGTAAGGTACTTCAATATGTTCTTCAATAATACGAATTCCTCAATGGATAGGAAAAAAAGAGATGATAAGAAAAGACATTTAAAAAAGTAGAGAAGGAGCATAGTTATTTTTGGACATCCATCACCAGCCCGATCTGCTAATAATAACAATAGTGGCATCATTCCACAGGCCACGAGAACTAGCAGGAAAGTGACTGAAGCCAAGGCACGTCTGCTATTGTGCCTCAGGTGTTACTCAGGTGGTAACGCAAATGCACTTGGAGGTCAAAGGGCAGCAGCCACTGTAGGACAAGAGGCAGCTGCAATGAAGACAGAGAAAACAAACACACAAAACAAGGCCATAGCAGGGAAAGCTCTATCATTCAAAGCACGTGAGGGTCAGCTTACAACCTTGTCAGAAGCAAATATAGAGTCAAATGCACATGCTATAAATGAGAGGCTGTACCATCAGGGATTACCCTGAAAATACTCCTGTAGAAAAACAACAGAATGAAAAATCAAAATGAGGTATAAGCATTATGAACCTGGTTACTCACAGAAAAAGCAGATCTGTGGCATCAAAAAATGCAGGGGGGATGAAAGGGAATTGGAAAGGAACTAACAAGGTTGCTGATTTAACTTACTGCTACCAGAAGAGAAAGAAGCTTTTGCCCTTTTCTCTCTGCAGATACCTTTTTACTGTTTATCATTTTGTCATCTCTGGAACTCTATGAGTTAGTTTAAATCACTAGCCTGAGAAAACTAACGCAGCAAAAAAAAAAAAAAAAAAAAGATGAGTTGAGGAAAGGTCATGAAGTCCCATAGTCAGCAGAGGAAAGAATAGAGCAAGGGCCAGGGCCAGCTTCCCTCTCATGACACCATGGAGCTCAGCTGCTCATGAAACAGAAACGTAAGAAACTCAGATGCAGAAAGAATAAATATGAAGCAACATGGAAAAAACAAGAGGTTTGACAGAACTGGGTATCACAACTAGAAGCACTGTTTCACAGTTCTGCAGCATAAATTAAGTCAAAAAAAGGTAGAGGCAGACTGTTAAGAGGGGTAAAGAGAAATGAAAAAAGAGATAGCACACAATGCATTCTGAAGAACCCTTCAAGTGCTGGAGAGAAGCAGCTATTTCACTTGTTTCACAGTTCTGCAGCATAAATCAAGTCAAAAAAAAAGTAGAGGCAGACTGTAAGAGGGGTAAAGAGAACCGAAAAAAGAGAGAGCACACAATGCATTCTGAAGAACCCTGTAAGTGCTGGAGAGAAGCAGCTATTTCACAAAGACACAGAACACTTTGGCTCATTTTGGCCTCATTTTGGCTCATCAGCACCTGTAAACAGCACGTCTCACACTGGCACTGCCAACACTAAGCACCGCCAGACAACAAACACTGCAGGGTCTGTTCTCCCATTGCCTTGAACCTCGTGAGCAGCAGTATTATCCCAACCTTAACTTGGCTGGTGGAAGGCTACACTACAATGAATCCCTCCTTTCCCTGACATATTGAAGGCTGAAGGCTGTAGCACTTTTACAGCTAATTAGTGGGGCTCCCTTCCCAGGCACCAGAGCAGTGCCAAGAACTACACAGAGGCAACTGAAGTGCCACATGTTAAACATATTATTGCAATGAATTGACCCACATTTCTGTTTGTGGACAAGTAGCTAAAAACACTACATGACCAAAAAACCTCTATTATAAAAACACCTCTGTCATGTAAACATATTTAATATTGGGTAACTCCAAAACACAATCTTTTTTTGAGGCAAGGCAGCAGAGGAAGATATTTTTTTTTAGCATTAAGAATAAAACAAACCAAATAAATTTAAATTGCTTCAAGAAACATTTTCCTTACTTGGTAGGTCTATGACCCTAAATATTTAAAAAATAATAATAAAGCAGCTTTAAAAATCTTCAATTTGTAGTGTCAAAAAAAGATAAATTTGGTGCACAGAAACCACTCTGGTTTCTTCAACTCAGTATGTTGTTTGCTGTATACGGAGCAGTTCTCACTATAAAACACACTAGCACATTGCAAATCTCCTCCTCATAGAAGGAAAACCCTGAACATGTGCACACACGCAGAGACACACAGACTAGTACCACACAAAAAATGAAGCGTCCCACTACGCTTAGCTTGCCAGACTTTATTGATAGCCTGCTGGAAAGTAAGCCATGTCAGTGGTGAGGGAATGCTGCTTCAGCAGTTCAGAATGAATTTCAAGCCTGTTCTCTATTTTATCTTTTGTTAAGCGTAATGTATTCAAGCAATAGTGAACTGACAATTTAAATAAGTACATTTTAAAACAAACGAAGCATTGATGTTAATGTGTGAAAATGGTCCCAACCCCTGGGAGTCCTGGTTCCCACCATTGTTTACTGTGACAACAGGATATAATTGCTTACTTACTTGGCAGCAAACTTTACCATCTGCTTGCTCGCATGCTGTCCCACAGCCACAAGAGCCTGGACATTAAACTGCTGCTGACGCAGGACTAAGAAACACTGCTTCCCTGAATACAAAGGAAAACAACACAGGTGTATTAAGGACAAGTTATTCGAGGTCCCCGTGAATGGGAAAATAAGCTTGGCTATATTACACTGAGATGTTATGTCTATATGTGTGTTTCTCTGAATAGTTATTTCTTACTAGATTCAATTCTGCATGTACACACACACATCAAATCCCAAGATTTTGTGTTATAAGTGAGCGTACATTTTCTATAAATTAATGATATGCCTTCTGAGATAAGCACTATCTAGACAGAACTGAAAACCAGAATTCATGCAACACTTCAGTCCCAGAACTCTACATGTAATTCACATTTTTCCTTCCTGCTTTGCTCACTTTCATACATGGAAAATGAATAGCCTTCTGAGTCTTACTGAGCCTTCTGAGCCTTACTTTAAAAGAAGACTATCTTCCTCTTCTGAAATATGCTATTACGTCTACAACAAAAGCTGTAGGGTTGTTTTGACAAAGGTATCCTGAGTGAATTAGGCTCGATTTTGCACGACAGGGATTAAACCAATGATGTTCATTCTATAATATAACATACACCCTGAACAAACAGGAACAAAAGAAGTATTGATTCTGGTAAACGACAAGAACCTAAAAGACTTGAGTAAAAATTCCTGCAAGAGCAATTTATTCATTAACAGCTTAGGGAAAAAGAAGTTGAAAGCAATTAATAATTGCAAAGAGTATGAGAAGTCTGCTGAGTTTCAAAATACATCTTTCCAAACCAACAAAGCTTGTTTTCATATGTTCAAAGTACCTACACAGTGACATTTATAATCATGTTATATTTCTCCTCACATCTCGCATCTCTAACAGACATTTATTCCTTAGCTCAAATTAAAAAAGTCTCTTCCTCAGAGAGGAAAAACATTCCAGTGTTGCATCAGTGTCTGCCAAAATGCATCCATACCCTTTTTTTAATTCCAAGTTTTGAGTCATAACATTAAAACAGTATTTCAATTAAAACAGTGAGAAACGTTCAAGCCAGAAGCTTTGTTACAACATTGCTATTTCCCAGTTATTGCTGACTTACATTTATGTTTTAATGTTTCTATAGCATATAACTTGCACAGCAACATCAAAATGTCAGCTGCACTTTTCATCTGCAATCATGTAGATTACAATTCCTGACGCAGTTGCAAATAATTTAAATACTACTAGAAGATAAATGCAAATCGTTTGACATGCAATCTGTTGGCAATCGAGGCAAACATAACACTAGTACACAATACTATTAAAAAGACATCGTAATAGTTAGAAATTACTTATTGTCCTATGACCTTGGTTGCAGAAATGCCATGTTTTTTTCAGAAAACAAGTATAACCATTTCCATATTCGAGGGATTCCAAAATTGAAGGAACTAGTATGGCACTACTTCTCACATTTCTTACAGACAAACTCAAAGTAAATAAATAAATAAATAAATAGATCTACAGATTTAAACTAGGAGATGGTAAGCTTCAGAAAGTTTCTTTGGGTGAGGCCTTACTCACACTTTTCAAAGTTCCATATTTCTTTCTTACAACTTGTTTGATACATTTCCTAAATACAGCATTTTTTCCCTATGATTTCAGTTACAAACAATTTAACAAAGTCTGATGGAATTTCAACGGTATTGTACTAGGGATTCAAATGAAAAATATCTGAATAACTGAATGAATAAATGAAAAAAGCTTAAGATATCTATCCAGAATGTCTCTGAATTAGTAAATTGTTAAGGGGAGGAGACTGAAAGAAATGGAAGGACTGGCTATTACACAAGTCAGTTTTACTTTAGCCAAAATGCTTGAAGTCTGATCAATATCTGCATTACAAAAGGACTCAAAATATTTTTTGTCATGAGTAACACTAGCTGCTTTTGTAAGGAAAGAGGATGTTTTATAGAATATAATAACCATTTCTAATCACACAAAAGATAAGTGATCAAACAAACCTTACTGATAGGAAAGAGAACTGTTACACACATTTTCACTGTTACAAAGATCAAGGGAGAAACAGAACGTTTCCCAAGAAAGCCTAATGTACATGAAATAAAACATCAAAAAAACAACCCATAATCAAATCTAGTTGATTAGATTTGATGCCTTGATTAGATGCCTTTCCTGGCAAGACTATGGAAAAAAAAAAGAAAAAAAGGAAGCAAATGAGGAGAGCAGAGGAGAGGGAAAAAAAGAACTCTTTTCGGAATGTTTTAAGATCTTTTCACATACCTAGAAAAAAGGAAGCAAATGAGGAGAGCGGAGGAGAGGGAAAAAAAAAAGAACTCTTTTCTGAATGTTTTAAGATCTTTTCACATACCTTTTTTATCTTTTCTAAGTTAAAAGTGCAGGCCCAACTTTAATTATCTATATTCAATAAAAGCAAAGATATCTATACGTTTCTCTAAAACAAACATTGTATTCTCCAAAAAGTTCTAAAAGGATGAAAATCTTCAAAAAGATCTGATTAAAAAGGTCTGATTCCATCCAACTCAAGGAACTTCTAGGCACTCAGACAATATACCACACATGGGAGTCTTAAAAATAAACAAAGAAAAACAAACATGAATACATATCTGTTCTTAGTTGGAAATACCAAATGACAAGACCTTATGAGAGAATAAGTTGTAGCAAAAGAATTCCCATAAACAGTGAGAATTTGTCATATATTTATATGACCAAAACATATATTTGTATGACCAATAACATTGCTAATTAAATATATATGCCCGCAAAGAAACAATTCTATATGGATTACTGTATTTTTTTCTAATACTGAAACTGCTGGACCTTTTTCTTTTTTCAGCACACTATCTTGATGTTTAAAAAATAAATCTATGAAACGAAAACAAATTCAGGTTTAATAAGTTGCCTAGGTCCTAGCAGCCTGCAAAAACCAGGCTGATCTCCCAGTAGATGTTCAATGATAAACTTGATCAGTAGCTTAAGTTTTTTAAAATGAGCCAGAGCTTTAAAATGAGGCCAGAAATAGCACTTATTTAATCTATGATAAAAATCACAGGGCCCCAACTACTCTAGTTTTAAGTACAACTCCCAGAAATTCCCAACACCCCATTTTTTACACATCCTTCAGTTAGCGTCTGTCGGGCTTCATGAGTGGCTCACTACATGAGACAGCTGGATTCTGCAGTTGCTCCATTTCTCTGGTTTATTGGTCAGAATCAGACAGGGTTAAATAAAGGATATGTTGGTTACTTAGGAGACAAATTTGAGACTGAAAAAAAATAAAGTTACACTACTTTTCAGCAGACTTTCCATAACGGTCAGAACAGTGCCATGATGTGTGAGAAAGACTGATATTACTTCTTACACTCAAACATTTGCTTTTCCCTCAAAGCTTAAACAAACAAGCATATAAAACTTACAGCAGTCCCTGAATGTCAGATTTTGCTTTGACAGCCCAAGAGGAAACAAGAGGTGCCATCAATAAACTGAGAATGCTTCACAAGAAAATCATAATCAATTCCCGTTCTTTCATTCTTCAGGTTGCATTAAGAGTTTTGAAAATAAGTATTATTATTTCATTAAAAACAATGGCCTCTCCCAAGGCTGAGGGTGAAGGGTGAGAAAGGGCACCTTATGGTGAAGTGTTTAACACTGCAATGTTATTTATGTCATCTTGACTGAAGTACATGCATATATCATGCAGGATGCCTTTCATAAAAGCAAGCAATAAACAACCACAGCTCTTTGTGTTTTTCTTTTAAAGGTCTGCAGTGAGGCATCTCTCTGACCCTCATGTTTAATCTACTAAATTCTATCTATAGTCTAAACTTTTTCGTATAACTGCAAAAGAAGAAAACGTCAGTATCCTCTAATTTGTATACTAATAGCAGCAGTTAAACTAAACACAGTGTCACCTGTCTGAGCAGCTCGAACTTGTTAACAATAATGACTGAGGCTTTCACAGCTTTTGAAGTTGGAAAACTCCTGTACACAGGAAAGAAAAAGAATGACAACCATGTGAGAACCACACTACAGAACTAAATCTACCCAAATTTAAAAATTCCAACGCAAACTGAAATGCATATTATATGCACAATTTACATCCAGCTCCTTTTTAACTGACAGTGATTTATGCTTTCATTAAGAAAAAACTACATATATTCTTTAATGAATAAATACATAAAAGAGGAATTTTTATATGAGAATAAAGTCTTAGAAAGAGAAATTAACCTGGTATCTATAAGAATACTCTGTACTGAACTTTCAACTTCAGTTGGCATTATTCCCACTTCTAAGACTACTGTTAAATTTCCTTTGAACACCCTTTCTTTATGCTCTTTTCTTTCAAGTCTTGGGAACACAACATATTTATGTCTCAGCACAGAAAAACCCAGCATAACTGGAAGTCAGTATAGCAGTTGTCAGCATCTGATGTCAACTGAAAAGACTGAATAGAGAACTTCTCCAGACAGAACTTCTGCTTCCAGTGAAGACATATGGCTGTCAGAGACCAACTATTACAACCCACAGTATTCAGAACCTATAAAAGGCTCTTCGGTTTAAGATATTAAGTTCAAATCAACCAGTCAAATAATGGCAATTGAAAGTAAAACTATGAATTTTTAAAACAGATTGTTGCTTCTTATAGAAGATGCAATGAAACTTTATATGCACACTTATATGCAGAATAAATAGGGCCCGTCTAACAACTAGTAAATTTATAATAGACACAGGTTTTCCTTAGAAGGCCACTTAAATTTAGAATTATATTTTATTTCATGTACATAACATTCAAAGCTGAACGACTATATTTTTTTTAATTACTATTATTTACATGCGTCCACACGCTATTTAGTAACACAGTAAAAACTAAAGCCACTTATACGGGAATGCAATAATAATATCTGATCTCCCATCCAGCTGAAAACAAAACGTCCTTTTCCCCTGTTCAGAAAAGAAGGCTGGAAGAAAGCAAACATAACCAGTTCAAGTGAGAATATTGAGTAACCAGAAGACAAGACTTTCTAAATGCAAAATGGAATTAATGCAAAGGAATTGCTTTGATTCTTTATACTAAAAAGTTTTCAAGTCAAAATAAACATTCATTTGTATCAATAAAACTAGAATATAAACATCAAAATTCTGAAGGCATCTCACCTTTAGCTCTGCTTGTATGAATTCTACCACGAACCCAAACCACTTCATCAGCTTTCTCCTCTGTCAAGTCTTTTATTCGAATCAAAACTCGATCTGCATCACAAAAATAAAACAAATTTAAGAATGCTTCTCTTTTTTAAAGTTGCCAAAAATATTTTTCACTCTAAACTCAGATATTACATTATTATCTTTTATAACTTTATTATTGCTAAATAGTTGCAATAAATCCAGGATGTTATTTTGTGTAGCTACTTTACAGTGGATGTTAACTCTGGAAATAGAAAAGATCACATTTCCTCTCTCGGTGAATTATACTTGATCAATTAATTTTAAATTGGTTCAGGCTGACTGTGTGACTTATACAGCAGGATTGAACTTCAGTAAAACAAAAACAAGACTCACTGTGGTTCAAGGATGGGAAAGCCCAACCTGACTACACTATTTCTAATAGGATTTCACAGTGCCGCAGTGCACCATGTGTGCCTACTGGTCTGGATTTTTGCTCAAGGATGCTCCACTGTCAGGTGTGGAAGTTGGCATATTCCAAACAGCAAAACAAAGGTGAAGAGGAAACTGTTTCCTGTATTTACATCAGCAGGGTAAAAATCAGAGTAGAATAATTATTATTTAAAATAGAGAACCATGAACAGATATGCATTAAATAGTAAAAGAAAATTCATTTTGACCAAAGCAATGTCATTTTGGAGCAACATCTTGGAAAGAGGATTAGTGTACAAAACCAGTAAAACTTACTTAAAGAGAGAATCACTTTGATAATCTGATCAAGCACTACTGCAGTTGCCTGGAATGGCAGGACACAGAGTTCATTACAAAGGACCCTTCAAATTCTACGTATCCAAGAAAGCAGGTATCTTTTAGACATCAATGGGAATTGCATGGTCAGAAAAGAGCAGGAATTTGAAAAAAAAAAAAAAAAAAAAAAAGTAACTACCTTGTTTTTGTTTTTTAAACAAGGAGTTTTGAGAAACTCCACAGTTCTAACAGCTACATTTATTAATTCAGGATTCATATGTGCTTAAAACCACTGCTCATTATAACAAAAATTGTCTTTAAGGGAGATACGTAACACAAACAAATTCACTGCCTCTGTCCTTCATAAAAGACTTAGACCTCACTTCAACATATTTACTAAAAAACACCAGCACCTCCACTCTAGACTTTGCTTCTGGCCAGAACTTTTCCAAACTCCACTGACACTTCAGCTTACCATCTGCTCTTCTGGATCTCTTCCCTCTGTCTCCACATACCACTCAAAGATTGCCCTGCAACCCTATTATTCTGTACCAGGATTGGATTCAATTCCTGGGAATTTGGAGTTTTTGTTTACTTGTTTTTAATTCACTTTAGTTTATGCTCAGAGCAATATAGTTATTTTTTGTAATGCAGAACTATAATCGTGTCTCATATAAAATTCTGCTACCAACACTCTATAACTGACCAAAAGTTTATGCGCTTTCTCCACAGATAAACAGTATTTTCCTCGGAGGCACACATCAAAACCAGAACAGAAATAAAATGTACAAAATAATGTTATAGGAAACTGACTCAAACATATTCATAATTAAGAGTGTGAGTGTCTGCATGCATATGTGCATGTCAGCACATGTACAAGGACGTGTGAATGCGTGTTCGCGCATTAGAGGAGGGAGGAAAGGGGAGTAAAGATGTTATCACTTCACAGCGACTTCAGATGCTCAAACTTCATCAGTACTAAGCAAACATACAACCAGTACAAACCATAAGCTTTAGTACTTCTAGAAGTTTGATATATAAACAGTTAGGACTACCTCAATCGACTTAAAACTGTACTATTACAAACCAAAAACATTTTCCAGATGCAAGCATAAAAGCAGAATGAGGTGTTGCTCTTTTTATTAATCCCTCATGTTTCAGGCACCATATGCTTTAGATAAACATTAAAAAACAATCTTTGGACAACGGTCTGTGTTTCATCAAAACTAAACAAAAAATTAATGACGAAAATAAATTTTATGGTATGTTATTAAAATCTATTTCACCTTTTACAGAATGGCTAACAAAATCCCTGAAAAGAGGCACAATGAAATGATTTTTTTCCCCGCAAGGGGACATAGAAACTTTTCTACCACTTTCAACCTGACCAAATCCAGTTTTCCTTCCTCTCATTTCTCAAATGACAGTGGTTCAAGTTATCATTTACACTTGTTAGTGTAAAAAAGCGAAAAGAGACACAATGAAATGATTTTTTTCCCTGCAAGGGGACATAGAAACTTTTCTACCTAACTAACTACCTAACTTTTCTACTATGACAGTGGTTCAAGTTACCATTTACACTTGTTAGTGTAAAAAAGCCCTTTGTCTCTCATTCTCTCTTGTCCATGCAACATGCTGTATCCTGAATCTTCCCTTTTGTCTCTCTCTTATCATTTCACATAGAAATCCTTTCAGTTCGTTTCTGCCTTTCCCAAAAGGTAACAAGTTTCTTGTTCTCACTTTAGAGGTTCTCCTGCATAACATTCAGACTCACAACTTATTGTTTCACAAATGCAAGCTGTACTTGCATCTTCTTGCCTCTGGCCCCCTTCTCTCATCTGACCTAGATCAGCAAGCTGCCAAAAGT